TGGCTACGCTCTGTCATTTATATATCATTTCTCAGTTGAGTGATTTAATCGCGTTTGTTTATCGCATTTCTTGCACGGACAAATTTATGCAGACAAGGGATTTCGTGCATGTTCGCGGAAATTATATAAACTTTCAGTTAATAATTTTTTTGCCATCCACAAAGTATAATCCTAACTCCTATGATTGAAGGCAATATGGCATATGAGGAACGCTACTTGCATGGTGATCGATCGAAAAATTTTACGTAATTTTATACGCCAGTAGAATAAACTTTCCAATATAGCCAGCGACAGCTGCGAAGCTTTTCCGTAGATCTCAAAGCCCAAAGGGAATGTTTTTTAAATTGCAAAATGAGTTATCACATTGCATGTACCTATATAGAAATGTGAGCCGCTTGGATATGAACACAACTTTATCACTTGACCATCATACAGGTTTAGAAAATTGTTCGCTCGGTTTGTTTACATTTCTGTCATCAAAATCAAAAAGTATATTTTTTCTTTTCTCCTCACACTAAATTATTAAAAAAACATGCGACTTTACTACAAGTCTTTTCCTTATATAAAAACAAGGTACCAACAACATAAATGTTATCTTACCTCAATTTGAATGCCTTTTACCTTTAAGGGCAAACTAACGTTTAGCAACAGCAGCTGCAAGGGATGTGTTGACTGTAACTGTAGTACCAGACCTCTAGTCAGAAAGCTTTCGAAAAATACAAAAAGTGTCAAAAATTAACATAAAACCCAGCAAATGGTAATAAGACCTGGAATGATAATTACGATGCCATCTGAATGCTTGAGACTCGCTTAAAACCTAAATACCGATGAATGTTTAGAAATTAGTAAAATAATTTGATTTGCTAATTTTTAGAAACAATGAACAGGCAACAGAGTAAAAAACTAATTTTTTTGCTTCATGTTTTGGCATTCCCGAAGTTAGGCTAAATATTTAGAAGTTCTCGTTCCAGGTTTTGTCACAGCTCACTGTATAAAGCCTACAGGTTTCCATTTAATCGTGATTGACATGAACTTGTCAAGGTTGCTGATGACAAGGGCCGATTTAAATACAGAAGTAAAGACAATTTACATTCGGACTATTTATCATCGCTGAAAATGATTTCTTTGCAAAAAGTTACGACAAAATGGAAACCATTCTTAACATTTCTTAACTTAGAAGGGTGTATGCATGTGCCGGGTGAAATATTCAATTAAAGCAAAGAAAAATTTTCTATGTGATGCAAAGCAATATATCATAATCTCTCTCCTAATCATGCACAATTGATGAGTAGCAAATTTAGAGGTGTTTAGAGTGTGCCTTATACCGATAACTTAGGAATTTTAACACAAGCTAGACGATTTAATAAAATAAATGAATTGCGTAGCATAATTTAGTACCGGTATAGAAATTTCCAGTCAGCATGATTATTCTTTTCTTCTGAAATTGTCATTATTAAAACACCGCGTGGCACGTGTCACTTCCGGTGAAATGGGGCTCAGTGATTAGCAAAGAAGAATTTTCGGCGAAGAATAATTTTCGGCGGTCCATTACTTTCCCGTAGTGGACCGGCGTTAGCGAAGATCTATTACGAGATGAAAAACAGAGAAATTCTGAATGAAAAATGCACAAATAAATGCTCAAGAGAGAATTCAATTGCTTTTGAAATTAATAAAACGTCTCCAGACAATTTAGGTAAATTAAATATTTCAATATTTTGTTTTGTTTTTATCAAATGGGTGCAAGGCAACATTTCTTGTCTGTTTCAAGTGCAAATACATGCCATATAATAAACTTTTTATAGGCGTTCCACATTTTTAACTATTTTCTCAGTTTCTTCTATTATTTATTTACAGACCTATTTTTTAGACCTCGATCCGATATTTCTCGGTAAAGATCTCGCGCTAGGTCAGTTAATATGAAGTTAATCATTAACTGCTTTTCCTTCCAAGCATCACATCTTGAGAGAATTTGCGTAGTATTTACTTTTACTCGTTTTTAAAGGCAAACGTTCTCGCAAACAAAGTTTACCTACTTTAAAAGCTGAAGCTAAGCCGACTTATTAAAAACAAATAAGCTGCAGGTCGTCATGAATGTCGTCGAATGCTTTTGTCAAACATGCCTAGCTTGACGTTTCACATGTTTCACTTTTATCTCAGTTCCATCTATTGTTTATATCCCGACCTATTTTTCAAAGCGTTTGGGATAAAAACATGCAAATTCTTTTTTTTTTGGTATTTCAAAGCGTTTGGGATAAAAACATGCAAATTCTTTTTTTTTTTGGTATGTTGCGTAGGATCCACGCGTGATATGGGGCGGTGTTCGGAATGTGTCGGAAGAAAATTTTCGGGCAATCATCGGAGGCCAAAAACAACATAAGAGAGGATGTTTTTGAAAAATATATTTTAAAGTATGAATAAAGAGATTTTTAACACAAGAAAGGAGAATGAGTAACCATATTGTTTTAAAAGTGGTTTAAAGTGCAAAGGAGGAGATGAAATTACAGCATAGGTTTTTATCGCCAAACCAAATAAGATTTTTAAACCGGTGAGGTACTCCATTTTGTAATGCAATGTGTGTCTGTATTTGTGATGTTTTTTTGGGTTTACGTACATACTCGTATGTCCGTAGAGTAATAAAAAAGAATATTTCATGCAAACTTAATAATATACTAGTGTGATGTGTGTAAAAAGATGGTTTTTTGGACCTGTTACATAAGCAAGAAATAACGCTTTAGGCCAAATATTTTTTCCAAAGCATGCATTACAGCAATAATTTTCTCAAATATAGATATTTTTCAATTTACTATCATTGCGCTCGGAGATTAAGAATTACACCCGGAACCCGGGGGAATATAGCGGAATCCAAAGTTGTCCAAATTCTATGTCATGGACGGTGGACGTTAGACGTTCGACCGTTTTGTGATTTATGCGCAAAACAAAGAGAAATAATTCATTATCTGCAAGCTTATAAGTGTTTAAAAGGGTACGTGTTTTCTTTGTTTATTCCGTATTTGCTTCGCAGTATAAAGGATGCAGTTTCTTTGTATAATTTTCCGCGTTGAATGCCGTTTTGCAAAGACATAAACCAGCTGTGAAAGCCTATTACACCTTCGCTTTGACTTTAAAAAGTGTTTTGAAAGTCTAATTTGAATTTCAATATGAAAAATATCATTAATTAATCTTCTAAAACCATTACTTAATTGCTGCCATAGTAAATGCAGCAAAAATTGAACGGTCAATGTTTACACTAGCTTTATGATTATTTTTGTACCGAATGATGGAAACATTAGCTATAATATACTCGATAAATTATACTATAGTCTGAATTGAGTTTTGAGAATTTCAAAATATAAGTTTTGGTCAGGTAAGCTCAGGAAATAGAGAGGGGTTGCTGCATGCGTTTATTTGTAGTGATATTCCCGCTCTGCCTGTCTAAATCAGCTTGTCCCTCTGATTGCACTTGTCTATTAGTGGTCGATTGTTCTACCGAGTCGGTTGGTCTATGATTGTGGCCACCCATCGACGATAACTTTACAACTTTACCGTTGTAAGACTGAACCGTTCTGTGTCTCCTCCTGTAACTGTTTCAGCTTCGACGGGGAAACTGGCAGTATCATAATTCGTTGCCTTTCTTGTAGGTAACTTGTAAATCGTACTGTTGCAGGCGAAGTAGCATTCGTTGCAATGTCATTAGGAGGTTTCTTGAGAATGCTCACCAATCATTGGTGACCAATGGTTTGTGGTCAGTTTCTACTTAATTGGACGGTTTTTCCATGGATAGACTGATTGAACGTTTTATACACGAAAAGACGATCGTTGGCCAAATGTTCTTTTTCTATTTGCGCTGCGTGTCGTTGTTGGGTATGTGACCAAGCTCGCGACGCATAGGCTATGTGGTGTCCGTCTTTTTTCAAAACAGCTCCAAGTCTAGATTTGCTGCTGTCACAAGATATCTTTACTAGTTTCAAAACATCGTATTAACGCAACGTTGGCTGCTTCGCGCAATCTTCCTTCAATATTTGATAGGCTTTCCGATGCTCATCGGTCTACTGCCAAGCTACATCCTTCTTCAGCAGGGGTCGTAGTGGAGCTGCTTTCTCAGAAAGGTTTGGAATAAACTTTGCGAGGTTCTGTATCATACCGAAGAATCATCATAGATCCTGCTTCGTGTTTGACTCAGGCATCATCCGAATAGCTTGTAATTTTTCTTGGTCTGGCTTGATTCCATCCGACGTGATCGTATGTCCGATATACGACACCTCGATCCGTAACTCGTATCTTGCATTTCTTTTTGTTCAATTTCAATTGAGCTTCTCGGACTGGGTCGAGAACCTTCTTTAGGCGCCGGTCGTGCCCATCGTCATTTCGTCTCAAATCATTAAATCATCAGCAATCACTTCACAGCCTTCTTAACCACCAAACAATTCCTCCACGACTCGTTGGTAGACTTCAGGAGCAGATGTAATGCAAAATAGGGCAGGCGTTTAAACCTATAACATCGAAATGGAGTGTTGAAACAGGTCAGAAATGAGGACTCTTCATCCAGAGAGGATTTGCCAAAATCCACTTGTAGCATCCAAAGTCGAAAATATCTTGGTTTCAGGTAATCTAGTCAGATCATCTTCGACAGTTTTCATTGGATAATACTCTCTCTTCACCGCCTCGTTAGGATCTTTTGGATCGATGCCCAAACGGATCTTATTTGGTTTAACGACCGTAACTAGCGACGAGACCAACTCTGTTGGTGTAGTGTTTGGCGTTACAACTCCAACTTCTGCATACGATATAATTCTTCTTGAATTTTTGAAGGAAGAGCTACAGGAATTGGACTGGTCTCACGTTCTAGTCAATATCTATAATTATGTTACGTTATTGGAAGACAACCAATACTGCTAGTGGAGAAAACATCTTTATACCCAGCAAATATATCACAATCAGGTAGTTAGCGTTAACTGTAGTTAAAATCTAGTTAAAGTTAACTATCCTCAAGGCAGGGGCGGATCCAGACTGATGCTACCGATGCTAAAGCATCGGTCAAAATTTTCTAATAATATGCGAAATGTTTCGTAATACTCACTTTCGTAGCTTAATCACTCATTTAAACTTTGAAACAACACACAAGTTTAAAAACTTAAAAAGTGAGTTGAGAATTGTCCAGCATCGAAAGGAGACGAAGGTAGCAGCAGAATTTGTCAATTTGGCGCTTTTTTATCGCGTAGCCGATATTTTTGTCACGCTTTAAATTCGACAATGTTTTAAAGTAAAATATATGCAATTAGATATGTAGTGGGGAATATTTAGTGTCTATGCAGCGCCAGTGGGGAATAATTTGCGCCAGTGAAGCACGATTTAGCAACAGTCCCGAGTCCTCTAACCGTGTTTTCCCACAGGAAGTCTATTGTATTCTTGTGGAATTTGAGTTTTACTGATGCTACTAATGTATTTATACATATCCACTGATGCTGACCGCCGCTTCAACTCTTGCATGTTTAATTTTTCATCGCCCGCATTTCTCGAAGCAAAATGGCGGACGATATGCAAATTAGCAGCGAACTTTGCTCATTCTTTCGAGACGAAAAGGCTATTCAAATAGAGTCGATTAGGAAGGAATGTGAGATGAAAGCCTTGTCAAAAGTCGAACAAACAAAAGCTTGGGATGCCTTTCGAGGTGGTAAGCATACTCGTGATTTGTACGCCGAGTTGCTTATTCCTCGGCATATAACGAAGGAATGGAAACGTCAGGGTGGAGAGTTGAGAGCTTTAAAGTGAGTAACTTCAATGACATATTAAATTGTATGATTTTTTAAAAGTAAACATGTTTCAACATCTCATGATGCCATCCTCAGTATGATATATTGAGTAATTGATACTGGGAATATGTATTTACGATTTAAGAATTAAGATATATTGATATTGGGAAGATGTATTTACTAAATTTACTTGCACACAGCCTGAGTAATATACGGGCATTTTGTGCTAGAAGTTTGTTTCTTGGCGTAATATGATAAACTACAGTCCTCAGCTGCAAAGGTAGAACAGAAGTAGCAAAACCTCATATTTATAACTATTGCTTGATTCAGACTAGACTAGACATTAATTAATGACATTATAACATTACCAAGCCCATGAGGTTCAACTGGAGTAATTAATTTGTCATCCAGGGGCTGGGAGGTCTTTATATTCAGAGGTTGCAGAGGCAATATGAAAGCATAATATTTATCAAAGTTAATATGTTTATGAAATCAAAGCAATATTCATACCAATTACATGACCTTTCACATTGTTTCAGAACCCTGGGAGATGGAAATTGCTTATACCGAGCATGCTCCAAAATGTTGTGTGGTAAAGACCAACTATGGCATGTTTTGCGAATGTTGACAAGCATTGATTTGCCTTAACATTTTATAAAAGATTGACTGTGTTATTATCTGCTGCTGTTGGAAGATCCTTTGCCTTAACATTTTATAAAAGATTGACTGTGTTATTATCTGCTGCTGTTGGAAGATCCTTTGCCTTAACATTTTATAAAAATTGACTGTGTTATTATCTGTTGCTGTTGGAAGATCCTTTGCCTTAACATTTTATAAAAATTGACTGTGTTATTATCTGTTGCTGTTGGAAGATCCTTTGCCTTAACATTTTATAAAAATTGACTGTGTTATTATCTGTTGCTGTTGGAAGATCCTTTGCCTTAACATTTTTAAAAATTGACTGTGTTATTATCTGTTGCTGTTGGAAGATCCTTTGCCTTAACATTTTATAAAAATTGACTGTGTTATTATCTGTTGCTGTTGGAAGATCCTTTGCCTTAACATTTTATAAAAATTGACTGTGTTATTTGCTGCCGCTGTTGGAAGATCCCTTGCCTTGAACAATTTATAAAAGATTGACTGTTGGATTAGCGTTCCTGATACGTTCTTTTGCTGTGGCAGTTGTCAAGTCTTCCTGCACTGTTTCACCTTTTACCGAGCAACGAGGCATAATATTTTAGAGCAACAATAAAAGGCAATGCAGGACTATTTTTTGTGTTGTGAAACGTTTTTCACTTTCCATAACAAAAGATAACCCGTATTTCCTTTTCAAACAGTATGAAGTACGAAAGGAGGCATCTTTGACGTCTGGTATGTTTGCAAAATAATGATAATGACTAATGCCCATCAGACTATATATGCAAAGGTAAGTGAAAAATGTATGTTTCAGATTAGGTATAATTGCCAAGATACAAATACTTATAAGCAAAATTGACGATTGATTTCGGCGAACAAATTTTCAAATTTCCGCTCCCAAAATGCGGGAAATCGTGTTTGCGAGAGTCTAGATTTCAAAATTTTCCGGGGGAGCATGCCCCCAGACCCCCCTAGGAAGCCTCGCGCCTGCGGCGCTCGAATTCAGCATTAGTCAACCAAAATCGTGGATCCGCCCCTGCCTCAAGGGCATCGTTAACTTTCCAAATCGTAGTTAAAAATGGCGTCTTGAGCTTTTAAGGAGTGAGAAAACATTAAAATTAACACATACCAAGGTTGTCAACCGTTATCCACTCAGAAAAGGCCCCGTCCAAGCTTGTAAACTCTCAATATGCTTTTATTTTTGTCATTTGGGCAGCAACGGAGTATATTTTTGCTTCGGGAGACGTGTCGATTCCAAATTACGATCCTAGCAAAGATTAGCCAACTCCATTTTCAACTGCAACTGCTATTTTGACTCAAAGGGACCTGCAACCGGCCCCTGATTGTAAACTTATACTGTTATATTCCACTCTTCCTCAGGGGTCGGTTGTTCGAAAGGCGTTTAGCTTAAACGGTGGATAAGTTGAAAATGGAAAACAAAATTATCGATTTATTGAACAACCGAGCTGAGATATTTTGATGTAAAAAGTTAAATTTTCAATGGAAGTACAAATTAAACGCATACTATGCAAATTCAGTCATTTACAAGATGTATGAGAGTATTAATTTTTTAAAATTTAGCTTATCCACCGTTTAAGCTAAACGCCTTTCGAACAACCGGTTCCCGTACTGCTAACACTGTTTACCTCTTTTTCCTGCTCCAACGCACCTACATACAGTTCATGAGTGTCTAGTGAATGAGTTTTTATCACACTTTTACATACCTTGGTTTTGCTTACCACATTTCTCACCAACTGCTGAGCACTTGCTTTTGTTTCGTTGATGTAACATTCCGCAGTACTTGCACTGAACATTTCTCAGTTGTTCTTTTTAGGGCGTTCGCTGGTTCCTTGTTTTCGAGTCAACACGCTTGACCATAACGAGTCCTTTATCGCTTCATCTATTGTGCTCGTTGCATTTTTAAGGCTTCCATATGGCTTCGAGTCTGTTCACCTGCTCAACAATAGCTAAAGCTCTTTGCAAATCTAAGTCAGCTTCGCGAAGTAATCAACTTCGTACTGCATCATCTCGGACCCCAACTACGATTCTATCGCGAATTAGTTCGTTACAAAGAGCGCCGTTCTGAGCTCTTAGCTTGTAGTCTAAGTTCAGTAACATACGCATTAATGGTTTCGTTCACACCTTGCATACGTGTACTGAAATAACTGAATAAATGCCGTTCGTATGTTATATTCCTCTTTGGCTTACAATATGCTTCGAATTTCTCGATCAAAACAGCTGGATCGTCTTGTTCTTCTTTCTCGCTTTACGTAAACGTGTTATATACTTTGATCGCTTGCTCTCCTGCGAGATTTAAGAGCATACGACCTCTGTGTTTGATTTCTTTTCATAGCCCGACGCTACAAGAAATATCTCATATTTCTGCTTATCTTCGCCGGTATGCGGCTATGCACCCTTCAAAGGATATTTGACTAGGTTTAATAAAACCTTCCATTTCGTGCTTTTACCATGGCCACCATGTAGTGTATTTATGAGCGCTTACAAGAGAAATACTGAAGTTATATTCACAAGCTAGTTATTATGTACACTAATACTTAACACATGCAAATAAGGACACTATCATACTAATAATTTTTATACTAATGAGTGCCATCATACTAATCTATTAATATTAATGAGTCCCAAGCTCCATTATTACACCTAATTTCACCCGGAGTTTGGGGATTACACCTGGGTATTGTGACAGAACCAGTGAACTGTAATAAAACCTGGAACGCCAGCGCTATATTTGATTGAAGCAAATAATTAAAAGCAGAACTGTTTGATCAATTCAATTAATTTATTAATTCAACAAAAAACTTCCAACTATCTGGAATCAGCAAGTATAATTCCCGTCTATAAATCTGGAGATAAAAAAGATCCAACAAACTATAGGCCAATATAAATCTTACCTGCCATCAGCTATTAAGTTACTAGAGAAAGCAATCTATATGCCGTTAACGTTGTCTGCATTTCTTGAAGGCAATCAAATTGCTTTCAATGAGACAATTTGGATTCCGCCTGAATTAGCCTTTCTCACGATGACGAATATACCGCCATTTTTGGGGTACTTTTCCTCAAAACTGCAAGCGTGAAGCCTCATAACGGCAACAGTCTTTAACTTTATAGGCTGGAGTTATTCTTCCAATGGTCTGTTGATTCTAAAAAAATGTTTTTCGTTTTGTTATAACTTTTAAAACCCGTTTGAAAAAAAATGAAAGTACCCCAAAAACGTCATCGTGAGAAAGGCTAATTATATATAATACTGTGTTGGCCACAGCAGAATTTTTTGACAAGGTTCTACAATCAATGGATTCTTAAGGATATACTTCAGGGAGCTGTTTTAAAAGATTTGACAAAAGCGTTGGACATGCGCTGTAAACCATAAAATCTTAGTACGTAAGCCACATCTTCTTGGTTCTGACGAGTATATGTTTGTGAGTGGTTTGAATCTATTCTTTCGATCGTTCACAGATAACAATCTATGATAATGTCCAATATAAAACTGCAAAGATAACTATAACGTTATGGAACGCTGCCATGTCACCATGTTTGCTTACGACACCTATACTGTTCGTATAAAAGTTCCAACGCTTTTCAACAAAAAATGAACACTGAGTGATCACCTTGCAAGAGTCTGCCGATGTCTGGTTGAACTTGAATTAGCTTAGTATTATTATTATTAAAAAATCCAAATTTATATGCTTGTCGGCAGTCGTCAACGTTTAGCAAAACTATCTTCTACAATAGTGGTATCCATTAGTGACGTGCCTCTTGAAGAAGAACAGTCGTATAAGTATCTTGGCGTAATGATAAATAATAACTTGACATGGCATGATCATATTGAATTTATCAATCTAAGATTAACAAGAAGTTGGGATTGCCTTAACATATTAAAAACTAGTTACGGTTACATAACAGAATATCCAGAACATTAAGTTTTTTTCTGTTTTTCTGTAATAAAACGTTAGAAACAAACACGAAACGGGATTTAATTACTCAATTTTTCTTAAATTCACCATTGTTCAAATTAATCAAATTACGGAAGTTGTTTTATCCAGCGCTTGCGTATATCTCACCCACTTTCGTTGTCTATGACTAATAGCTAATTTGCCGTTGTGCGCCTCGTCAGCTATCAGCACAAATACGACTCGAGTTCGCGGATTAACTGTTAAATAATTGTTATATTCTTTCAAATTTTAAGTATGCCGACATAGTTTGGGGAGATCGGGGGAATAAAAACTGCGGTAGAACATAAATGGCCGGGACATTGAACGGGACATTGAGCAGTGATTAACTTGCAAGTAATAGCTCAACCTCGTACTCAGCGCATTGGATAAAAGGGGTTTGGATAAAAGGCCTTGGAATCGGTCAGCCACTTCTGACTTCCGATTGGTTAAATGATTTATCCTAATTTATGTGTAATGCGTATGCGGAATATTTCTAAATTATTTCGAACCGGGCAAATAAATAGGGGTGCGTTCAGTGATGGTGCGGCGATTGGCAGAAAACAAGACTCCAACAACCTCGTTCCACAGGCCCTTTACCTTGATACCAGTTAATTTATGCTTATTCAAAATCCTACCCACGAAATGTGGGTACTTTGAACGGCTGATCCCAGGGCCTTTCCTCTACTTTTCTCCCCCAGCCCCAACCCTCCCTATAAAGTCCTAAAAGGCCGTGGGAACGAGGTTGGTAACAACTGGAACGAATTGCCCCAAGAAACGCGCAAACCTTTAAATTCTATACTTAACTAATTTATTTATTAGTCTAGTTTCTGTATTGTATTACTAAGTTTATTTATTCATTCTTGTAAGTTTTTATATTAAGCAAAACCCTACTACAAAACACATATTGTGATGTAGGCCTCCTGACTAAAAATTGCTTGAATGAAAGTCCTGAGAGACCTTGCAATCGAATGTGTTTAAAATAATAAACTAATCTAAACTAAATTATGAGCTTATTAAAAGTAACTATAATTTACGTTTGGAGTCCGGAGTCCCGCAGACAAAATGAGCCTTGGGGTCTGATGTCAGAAAATGGAAGACAAGAAATAAAATATATTGGAGACATTACGTCAGGCGCGTTATTTTTTGTAAAATCAATTTTTACAAGCATGCAAGTGAACAAAAAAATTTTCAAATTTTTTTTCGGGAAACTTTTCTTATAAATATTGTG